TCCTCTTGTCCTCCCTAAAGCTAATGACCTGTGGAAAAATATTGCTGTTCTCTACAGCAGGAAGAAGCCATGGACAACAGAGACAAATCAGATGGAATAAAACCTGTATTCATAAAGTCCCTAGCCCAGGACAAAGCTCTATTCCAACTTGCAAGTTTGTCCAGCAGAGACTCTGACAAAAATTAACAGGATAATTTGGCAAACCATACCTTTCCCAGTGAAATCAATTACTAATTGTCAGAGTTTCTCAAAGAGCTGGAAACCCAGTGTATGTCACTGAGTAGCCCAGGGAAGCATTGCTGTCGCAGCAGCACTGGCTGCACCAAGCTGCTGAGCTCTTTTAGCAGGTAACCTGAGCTGTGGCCACAACGAGAGCCTCTCAGCAATGTCAGCACAGCTCACTTTAACCAAGAAACTCTGTGGAGAGACAGGGCAGACAATTGTACTCTGATCCACACTCCTGGCCCAGTCTTGATTCTCTCCCCCTTCACCTGCCTTTACTTTCCTCATTTGAAAAAAATGTTACAACTATTCCTTTATTTCAGGAAAAGTAGAAAGGAAAGTCTCAGCTCATAGTACAAAACCCACAATGTATCTAACACTCACATGCACAGAGTGACACACGCATCAGGACAGTATGCCCCTCTTTCTCCTGTTTAGGTTGGTAGCAACACAAATCACAGCTAGCATGGTTCAAGCAGCTTGACTACAGGTTTACAACAACAAAGCAGGCATGGTCCCACCCAATGCAAGTCACTGCCAAGACTGGGGTGATAGCAAAAACCTTTCATTTAAGGCTGGAAATCAAAAACATTTAGACCTTTCCTTTCCAACAGGCTATCCACAGAATATCAGCAGTGACTGTGAATGGAATTATCCACATTTCCCCAAGGGTAGCACATAAAAGGACTTTTTCCTGCTGCACTTTTGTGCTTTTGTTATGCTGCTCATGTCAAGGACACGACATGGGAAAGGGAGGAGTAGACAGGATATGCTATATGAACACTGTTATTACTTTAACTTAGTATTTTCCACTGGGAAACCGTGTCAGGGCGGGGAAGAGTCTCATAGGAAGCTTTCCACACTCTAAGTCACAGGCTGGCTCCAGGAACCTCCCAGGCATGTTCCCATGATTACCTCCTATTTCATGGCTGACTTTAGTTATTGGCTTGGTTGATTTTCTATTCTTTTAAGAGCTTCCTCTCCACCACTTCATGAGTAAATGTTATTTCTGTTTTGTTCTAACATCAGACAAATTCCTTAGCACAGCAGCTGATTCCAGCCAAACCATTTCAAGACATGAATTTATCATTATAAACAAAGACAAATGTAAGTAAGTCCAAAGTAAACCAGAAAACTAAAAGCACATTTGCATCATTTACTATACCGACCAAATACAAACTATAGCAAGCAAAGCTGCAAAAAAGCATCATATATTTCCACTTCTCATAGCATTCAAATTCAAGCTAAGAGGCTACTAAAACTAAGATATCGGTTACTCATGATTTTCAGGAAGAAGATGCCAGCATTGGTGCAATGTAGCCACAGTGCATCACTTTTGCCATACCCAGCATTTGACAGCAGAAAAAGCTACAGGGAGCTTTTTTGTAATCCTTGTGTTGCTTTGAAATAAAATTATTTATCACCTGACGCCATATTTTGAAACCAAGAACTTACTTTCTAATTTCCCAAAACAGGAAAATGCATTTTTCAGTATTTTACCTTCTAATACACATCAGTAAAAGACCATGCTTCCACTAGCCCTCCTCAGGTATTTTTGCATGTTCTCATCCCTGTAGAGGCTTTTGTCCTTGTTTTTCTATCTAAAACAACAAGTTATGTGAAAATTACTTTTTGCATGTCCCTGCAGTCACATTTAAAGGTTAGGGACAAAAAGAATGCCTTACTACCCCTGTTGAAAAAAGCTTAAAATTATATGCAAATGGATGAAAAAAAAAAGTCTCAAGGGCTAGTACAGAGTATCAGAGAACCTTCTAGAGTATATGTGCAGGCACACGGTTTCCAAGATGGAGTATAAAAGCGGCAAGTGTTCCAACATGTATAAAGGTGGCAAGTGTTCTATCATAAAAACTGTCTTACAAGGCAAAAAAATGTGGACTATTTTCCCTCTGAGGTTTATGTAGGTAGAATTCTCCATCATTATTTTAACAGGATCTTTACCTGGTTAAGAAAATTAAATCAGAAACAGAAAGGAAATAAATTATAGCCTTTGTTAGAAGCTGTCATATGCTTACAGTCTTCACAGTCACGCAGATTCACAAATTTATCTGCCTGCTCCCACACATCCAATTGACACATCTGATGCAGACACTAGTATGGTGGAAGAGGCAGAAACCTGCACCTGAAAAACTGGTACTTCTGAGAGAAGCTATGTGAAACGAGTTTTATTTTCATTGGCTGGTTGATTTCTTTATCCCAAAAGTTTTCATTTGAGTTTATGATAATGTTTTCCTTTTAGACAGAAACATCTATAAGCTTCAGACCCCTACAAATGTCTATATAGTTTTCATATTAACCACCTCTGCTTTGCTCTTCCTCCCTTCAAGGGTATATACTTTAAAAGTAACCTCATCTAGTTAATTCACCTGAAATAGGCATTACATCTCCTCCTGTGTTCTTGCAAAGATGTAGGTTTTCTCCTCACTGAAGGCAGCACAAACTGTTTTGCCATAGATCACCATATAAACTCTTCCCCCATCTCATAATCTGTACATTCCATAAAAACAGGAAGCCTATTTAATGGTGTGGTACAGTTGATGTAATGGGTGCTTTAGAATGTTACTGATAAGCAGCTTGATAACAGACTAACAGTTGAGATGTCTGTAGTCCAAAGGACTTAGAGCCTTACTTGCAGCACTGTACCATGAGGACATGCAGAACAGGAAGTGTCCAAGTACCTCAGTACAAGCTGAACACATGCTGCTGCTGAGGACTGGCATCTGAGAAACTGCTTAGACTTTGGATAAAAATCAATCAGCTAGCAAACAGAAAATCGACTGAATCTGCAAAATAGCATGCAGCAGAAAGCACAAGACACAAGGAATTAATTAGAAGGGAAATACGAACTGGAGTTTTGTGGAGGTTTGCTTCTTGACATGAGTATGGAGCACTAAATACCTGACAGCTGCCAGACTTCTGACACACCTGAACAACAAATCCTGCAACAGTTACAAGCACAAGCAGGTATGGTGCAGAGGCAGAAACTGTCACACTGCCTTTCTGCACAGCTCTCACTTCAGCAGGCCTCTCTGTTTACTATGATACTGAACTTTACAAACCTACCCTCCAATCAGGTCATCTGAAACTCACCTTTCCAATGACAGGCATTTTATGTAAGCCAGTACTCTCTGCAGCTAGCATGTTCCTAAAGGAACTATTTTAGCCTTCAAATGCACTTTTACATGGCATGCCCTGCCTGGTACAAAGTGGCCATAACGCTGCATCTGCAGGTGCTCAGAAGCCTAGTCATCATCCTCCTCACTATCCCCCCTTAAGTATCGGCAGTCAATGAAATAAATTTCTTTCAGCATTTTAATAAATGAAGCAAGCTGTTTTTATTTTGCAATTTACAACATTTGATAAAATTAAGTATTTTGCTGCCCAAAAGCCAGAGTGAGATACCAGTTATTTAACTATCACTATAACTGCAGCTACCACAACTTAGCAGAGCACTCTAGTATATAGACAACACCTGACCTATTTTAAACTAAAACAGAACTGATTACTGTCAGAGGATGTACTACATTTTACCTTCTTACTCAGGTCTGTAATACACACATATTTATACTTGGACATTCCCTCAAATTAATTTGAGCAGCTTACTCTAGCCTTCTAAAGAACTAGCAGACCATCTGAGTACCTTGCAGCCATTGAAACCTCAGACTGTAACCATCTCTGATCCTTAGGACAGTATACTCTTATCACACAGTAATTTTTAGACAGAAAGTCTTCCTAAGAAATTTAAATGCCATAAGGAAAGATGCCTTTGACTCTTCCCTTCTACCATTTAAAAGACTTTCAGATGTTGAAAACAGAAAACAGGTAAATGTCATGGGAAAAAAACCTCAAGCAGATATTAAACACTACCTGGAACCAAATTCTGTGAACAAAAGCAAATGTTAAGCTTTGAGATTCTGTCCTCAAGACCTACTGATGGCACCTAGCCGTCATCACTGTTGTTCAAGACTCACCTACACTTTTGACTGTATGAAGTGGAATGTTCCAGGCTTCCTCCTGAAAAGTGCTAATAGAAGGAGCAGCATTCCCACTCCAAAAGCTCCAGGATATGAAGCACAATTTGAGCAATTGAGTCTTATACATTGTGTAAGCTCTGTTTACAGTACATTATTGTAATGTATTCATTAAAGTTAATTTCTACAAAACCCCATTCATCTAAGTGTTCTCATTAATTAGAACAACTGGGAGCAGAAAAAAAAAGCTAGAATATTTGGGACACATAATTGAAGTAAACTTACTTCCTTTACGTAAGTTTACTTACTTACTTCTTTTATATAACTTTTGCTAAGTTTAACTCATAAGCATTTCCAAAATGTTAAGGCTCTCCAGATAAAACTTAAAATATGTGCATTTGCTAACATGTTTTAATATGTGACATTACTCAAACACCATAGATATTTTATGGCAAATGTACATAAACCCTCCAGCAATTACATTTTACATGAAGAATTTTCAGCAACTGATGCCCATGAATTCTAAATTTTCTTACTCCTCAAGAGGCTGGCTGAATTTTTATTTACCTTTTTTTAACTAAAGTGAAGGATATTTTTTCTCTTCTGGTTTTAGGAAATCTTTGAAAAGACAAAAATCTACTGTAGTCTGTTTATGCAAACTAGCATGACAAATCCCTTTTGCTATCTGCATTACTTAAATCCAATCCTAAAAAACTTAAGTAACTTCTTTTCACTCAAATGGCACCAGCACTAACAAAAAATAGTTAGTTAGTTAGAACATTGCCTTACCGTGTAAATGCCAATTCTACAAACAGCAAATGAGAGCTGGATACATTCAGACATAGTCTAAAGGAATTAAAATAAAGACATTATCAAGAATACTGTTTATTAAGAACTACTTTTTTTTTCCCATCTCTCCCCTTTCCCATGAAAGAAACACCTTCTTCAAAGCTTTATTAAACAACTTTAGAAAAATGTCATACAAATTCAGGTTACACAGATACATACTACCTTTCATACAGAAGCAGCTAAGTGCAGAGGTGTCAACACCTTCACACTCACTAGTTCAGTATTTCATTATAGGTCTCAAATTATCTAATGATCCCAAAAATGCCTGTACACAACATTAATGATTTGTATGTAAGTTTTCAATCTCATTTATTTTTATCTACTCTGATTTAAAAACAATCTGCAAGAATCATTTTAATGGAGTGCTTTTTGGCCTCTTAGTGTACTGTAAAGAGCTTCTGTGTTTATATTTTTCTCTCCCTTTACCATCACTGAAGCCAGCTTCCTCTATATACCAGAATAATGCATATAATTTAATGTTTGCACATTTCTGAACCCTTACTGCTTTAGTTTTCTAAAGTAGAACATGAAAATAGAACATTTTATTTAATCTGTTCTTAAGCTGGGAATAATCATATTAAAAGTTTTTACCCTCAATTTGCTCAACTTCCAATCTGCTGTGATGCCACAATTCTATGTCTTCTGCAGTCACCCAGAGAGGCTGAGGATGGACTACGAATTTCTGATGAAACAGATGAAAAACACCTTCTTTAATTAGCACAACAAAGCCAGGAAATAAATGCAGCTCTCCAACACCAAAATAAAAACTACTGTATGTTTGCCATATTTCCTACATGACTAGGTAAAATAAACTAAACTTACAATTATTTATTCAGAAGAGTAATTGAGGAATTACTTTACATAAGGTGTTTGAAAGACAAAGCCTTCAAGCAGAACACTTTCATTACATGTTTAAAAAGTTCACATATTATCTAAGATGAAGTGTTGGATGATACACGCTTCAAACACATCAGTCAAAACATCTTTTCAGCATCTACTTTCTGATATTTCCCTCCCTCCAAAAAAAATTTGAATTGAAATACCCATTTAATTAAAACTGGGATTAAAAAAAAAAAAAAAAAAAAAAAAAAAAAAAAAAAAAAAAAAAAAAAAACCAAACCAGATCTTATTAACTACAAGTAATAAAAAAATGTCTAGCAACATTTTTCTTTTGCTGTTAACTGTTACATCTAAATTTTAAACAAATACTGAACTGTGTGGAAGTCAAAAAGCACAGTACAAAAACCTGAAAACAAACTTCAACAGCACAGTTGATTTTTATTTCTTACTGGAAGTAATCTAGCATGGTATTAATGATAAGGAGATGCTGACTTGAAACACCATTTCAGTTTAAGGAGATTTTTTTTTTCAGTTTTAAGACCAAACATCCAAGTCTATCTCTTGTACTCTAAGCTTCTCCCAGAAAGAAAAAACTGACAGAGAAATAGGAACTGACTTCAAGAAATCCTACAGTTACACAAAGCGGGGTCATAAACCATACCCCTCCTGACAGTATTTGCAGACCTTGTTCCAAAGGTTCCAGGGATGGATGACTTCCCCAAGCAATTCAGTCCAGTGCTTCATTACCCTCTCTACTAGAAAGTTTCCTAATGTTTAACCTCAGTCTGTGGCAATTCAAGCCCATACTTAAACAGTGTGCAATATATTGAATGATTTGCATTTTCAGTATCCTGGCAGAATCTATGTTGCTGGCAGACACAACTTTATATACAAAGTAAATGATTATTTCAGCTTGCAAGAGAAGTAAACATGCAGCAGCAGCAAACCATTATAGCTTCTTCATGTATACAGTTTGCTTTTATTCTAGACAAGCACAGCATTATAAATTGTTTTCTTTTTTTAAATTTTTGTTCACTACTTCCAGGCTATGCATTAGTGGAAGAACTAAGCTGCAGTTCAAATTCTCCAGCAAGCCCCTGTAGATCCTTGCTTCAGCAGAATAAAACAACCTACATCCCGTGTTACCTTACTTAGGCATTGTTGGTTTTGCTACTGTTAACATTCTGAAACCACAGGCTATTTTAATTATTATAAGGCATGAACTCTGTCACATATAGTACTGATGAATGTTTCCCTTATGCATTTCCCAGTGAAATATTAAGATAAGCCCTTCTTCAAGCCTCCAAAATAATGCTTATAAACTACATTCTATGGTGGTAAAAAAGGGTCATTAATTCCAACAGTACTATTAATATCTATTATATTCACCTATCCTTTCTTCTGAAAATTTACATTCCCTCCCCAGAAGTATTTCAGTTTAATCCTTGAAAAAGTGACAGAAATTGATTCAAATAATTAAAAGTTTAGTGATACTATCCTTCAGACTATCAGTCTGACTGAATTAAGATATAGTTGATAATCTGTTGCTGCAAAGGGGAGTTTATTCTTGATACTTGGTTGTGCAACTCACTTGGGACCATACAACTGGGCAACAAAACAGTTGTTGGAAAATTTAGACGTAATTTACTTACAGTTTATTGTTGCTTTCTGAAAGGATTTTACACCGTAAGCATGAAAATAAAAGAAAAAAAATGTAAAAATATACCTACAAATACTGTGAAAGACAGATACCTTGTTTGACACAATTCTACAAAGACTAATTCTTCACAGATGTGATTTCACATGTCTAAGGTGAAAAATGGAGCCATCAGATCAAATATGCCAAATATATGCATGCATCTCTTCCAAGAAGCACCCTTCTGCCTAGGCAAAGGGTCATCTCATGAACATTAAATAATTTCTTCCACTGGAAAACAAACTCATGGCTAACTTTCCTATTTGCCCAAGACTTTGTTATTTTAATCATACCTTGTAAAAATGTGGCTATTTATAATGACTTAGAAAGATGTCTGCCCTGCAGCTGTGCAACATTCAAGTCACAACAAGCATCTGTTCTGTCCATTTTTTCAAGTATTCAGCTATGAGTACAGTAAAAAGCAATTTCAGTATTTGGTGTTTAAAAAAAAACTCATTCAGCTCTGACACAGGCACACAGTCTGTAACTCACAAAGCCATTGTTTTAAATATCTATTTTGTCAGCAAATACAAGATTAAATCCCTACTCATAATATTTACAAGAGACCAGATTTTGAAAAGATTAATCACAGCATGTTCTGCAACTGATGACTTCAAGCACCAAGTTGAAAGCACTAGCCTCAAGAACCTTGGTGGGCAAAAGGGGAGGGTGATCCTAATCAAGTTCTCAGGAAAGAACCAAAAGGTTCAACACCTGACAGAACTGTAGGAGCCAGTCAATTCTGCCACCCAGCAGAAATACTCACCTCGACTGCAACTCACTGTGACATAATCCTAAATAAATCACAGCACTGAATACAGCTCCAAGACCACAAAAACAGAAAGCGAAATGAGAAAAGGAAGATGTTAGACGTTTTTTTTCTGGTGATATGTTTCTTTAATACACTTAAGATCAAGACACACTTCTGCTCATTTATAATGAAGTGATACAACCCAGCAATCACTCGGAATTGCTGGATCTTCCAGGCAGAAGTTTTTCCACCTCTATTCTTATCTGCATCTTTTTCAGTGTATAAAATTGCAAAAATTAGCAATACAATGCATAAAATATGCAGGTTTTAAGGTACCTTTACGTATGGAGCCTGAAACAAATTCTCAGTGCTTATGTGTTGTACCCAAAAGCATGCACAGTGACACTACAGTAAAGGTAGCAGGAACTTTGACCAGAACTGCTGTTTGCTAACCTTGTATACTGAACTCCAACTAGTAACCCCAAGGCTCCCCTTTCTAAACAAGACACAACAGCCCACTCCTAAATGTTATTCCATTAATAACATTTCTAATTTAAACTCCCTGAATTCTTTTTAATAGTGTTCTTAGGGATAAAAGGCACAGAAATTATTTTCATACTCTCTTTTAATGCTGAATAAATAGATTTCTAAAATACCAATCTTCTTGTACATAATCATTAGAAAAATAAATCTCAGTTTAGAGACCAGAAGAAACCTGATGTTGATGGAAAACCAATGATATGGGAAGAGGAAATAGGACTAGATCCAAGAACTCCCTTGTCATCATAAAAAGTAATCAAGTGGATGCACCAGTGAACAATGCTCTCCTCTCTTTTAGGCAATATTCTCAGTAGAACAGTTTTCCATTACTGTTTCCAGGACTGCAGTGGCTCAGGCAGTGAAAGATACAGATTAGCCAGCAGAAAATTAATAGCTGCAAAAACAGCATAGACGTTTCTCAAGAATTCTGGACCTTTTCTCCAGTCTTGCTGAAACCTGAAATTATGCAAGTTTCTAAGCAAAAAGAAAGCACTGAGAAAAGAGATCACTCACTGTAGAGTGCATCATCTCTCTACACAGGTTGTCTGTACAGTTTCAGGTTCTCTCAGTGTTGTGGGCCTAACATAAAAGTTACCAATTTGTTAAAACACAGATGTCAGAAAGCCTTTCCTCATACATCAAGGCAGCACTTCCAAGCAGAAGGAATCTGTTAGGTACGTGCCCTTGGAGCAGATTAAGTATCTTCATAAATACCTCTGAATTAAAAGTCTCACCTCCTGTGCAGTCAATGCAATTCTGCATTGACTGAATATCTCAATTTTCCAACTGCAATTTCCTGTTCCAGAACTGATTCTAGATTCCTCCTCAATGAGGAGGAATATTGGATGTCTTTAGTCCATAGCAAAGCATCAGGGTATCCAGGGAATCGTACCTCATGGACCTATCCTTATGCTCCAGTAATCACAACTTCAGCATTTTCTGCCATCATATCTGAACATCATGTTTAATACTAAGCCACAATGGACCTGTCTTTGAAGACACTGTACCAATTCCTGGTCTACTCTTTTTCACATCCCTAACATTACTGCACAAGTGAGAATTCAACTACACTCACCTGAAAACACAGATCCTGGATTATAACTGTGAGTTCTTCTATATGGAAAAAACTTGCTTATTGCCTAATCTCTTTCTGATTTCAAAGACATCTAGAATATTACCTCCTCATACCAGTCAGCTGTCTTTTCTTCAGACTGAAGGGCTGCAAGTACTTATCTCTGCTTGTATGGAAGAAATTGCTTTTCTTCAATTACCACACCATCCTTCTCTGTATTTTCTTTGGGTTTTCAATACTCTTCCTGAGATGATGCAACCAGAAATGCAGCATGGAAGACAAGAGCAAACCTTATATTTAAGCAGTGTAAAAATGAGATCTTTCCCTCTTTTTCCTTCTTAATACTCTAAACTTGTTGACAGATGTCTGAGTTGAGATGACATTTTAAAGAAGTGTCCTCATTCCCTTTCCTGAGTACTGATGGTATTTTAAGGCCTACCCATGCATCTGTACTGCCATGTGACTTCTTCTAAAAATATATGCAACTTTGCATGTATCAACACTGAATTTCATCTGCCATTTTATTACAAATATCAAAAGAGGCACTAGATTATTTCCCTGGGTTCAATATGCATTCTTAAAGTTTGTCCCTGCATCAGCCCATCAAAAGCACATGCAGTTTATACAACTAAACACAAACATGAAAATCCCTTGTCATCTCTGCATTCACTTCTCCCTCTTATTCTGCCATTGCCAGAACTGCGCTCTCAATGCTCATTTGTATTTCTCATTAAATTTGTATTACAGATGACAAAATTATTACTTCATTTTAATTGTTTTTAAGTTTTTCACCTCTATTAGAGTCAAAATCATATTAACGAAGACTAAGCAATAGTTGTTGTAAAAGCTAATAAAATGTGGAAACCAGATGTTTCTTCCATACAAAAACTCCAAGTCATAATAAAAAAAAGAAATCTGCAAACTTACTTCCCCCATATCAACAGCTCCTAGTGGATCTTGGATGCCATCTTGCTTACTCAGACTCTCCAATGCCAAAAGCTAGTGTGGGTCCTGTGAACAAATTTTTCTTCTGTTGCTCCACCAAAACATACAGCACAGCATCAAAGATTTATGCTTTTCCTACTGTTTGTTCTTATAAGCAACAAAGCTCTAGGGCAGGACTGCATCTAGCAAAGGAGCACTTGTCAGCTACATTTCCTGCTTTGTGTCTCTTCCTCAGATAGAAGGAACTTACTTACACACTCACTGGCAATTAATTTAGTCACCTTACCAGGCTGCCAGAGAGAAAAAATAAATTCTCTATGCTGAAGAGCTCTGGCATGAGATGAGCCATCTTTTGTTAGACTGCAAATACCCTACTTATGTCCACAAGGACTTTTACATAGTCACAGTCAGACAGTTTGCTCTTCAGAAAATTATCCTGCACACACAGTGAAAAACAGCAAAACCAACATACTGCAGAGCAACACAAGCCAAAACACAAAGAAGCACAAGATATTTAAATACTGTTGTGGTTATTTTGTAGGGCTTTACAGCTCTTTGGCCCCACATTTGTGGTTTTAAACTAAACTAAAAATGCTTATTTTATTAATGGAGAGCTATTATCCTCAAACAATCACAAAACATCAGCACTCCGTTTAAAAGAATAAACATCACAAGCTGGCAGTATTAAAAAACATGAGCTGATGATACTGACAACAAGCCAAAAATGTTAATCAACATGTGGTATTAGAAGGAATATTTTGTCCTTACTAAATGCAGATATTCTCACTTACTAAAAGCTTGCATTTCTGACCTTTTGTGAAATTCATCAAGGCACCATGTTGTCTTGAAGCTTGGAGATCTGACTGAAGAATTCAGGAGCAGCATACTGCAGAGCAACATGGTGTGGTAGTACATAGCAAAAGCTGGAATTGAAGACCAAGTATTCTTACTACATACTTCAGACACTAATTCTGATCTAGGCCTGTAGTGTAAAAACCCATTAGTGAAGTAAATCTTTCCATCTGGTTTCATTTGAAAAATATTAAATGTCATCTGTGATCACTCTGCAATGCAAACCCAGGTAAGCATTACCTTCTTCAATGAAAAGACTCACATCCGATCCAAACACTAATACAGTTGCATGCACCTGACAGCTGTTGTTTTCTTTCCTGCATTCAGCTATATCTTTATTTTGAAACAACTGACAGACCCCTCATCCTTGTGTCTAATCAACTTCCCAAACTGAAGGGAGGATAATAAAATAGAAGGCCTTGTGCTCTGCAGAAGGTGTAAGTTTTCAAGGCTGTTATAGCTGATAGATCAGTCAACACAGAGCCCAAACACTCCATATTGTTATGTGACAAAAGACAGAATTCCTGTGCGAGGGGTGTTCAGCAAACAGTCAGAGGACATGGCCCTATGCATAGACTGTGGCCGCTCATGTTGCAGGCAATGTATCCAAATCACACCTGCGCCTCAGAAGAAAAATACAGAGTTGCTAGCATGGACTTTAACCCATTTTTCCTTATTCAAAGGACAGCATCTACAGGTTTACAAAGTTTCTGTGAAGTAAAACTCTTATCTTCAAACATATGCCTCTCTAACACATTTGCAGTGTGAGAAAAAAAATGTTTTCTACGTCCTGCAGATACCAAACAATGGAACTGGCAACAGCAATGGAAAGACAGGATCTGAAGTATACCAGAATCACTAAGTGATCTTGATCTATTCCATATTGCCACTTTCTGAATCTAAACTGTCCAATTAAATTAAAGGTCCTAACTAAAAGAAAGGTCTTAAAAGTAAGCGCCCCAAGAAAGAAAAGTTGCTCAAAAACATTTAATTTTTTTTTAAGTATCACCTAACACTTTAAGAACACTAGTTTGGATTACGAAGCTTTCCCCAACCAAGACTTCGTCAGAACACTAACTATCTAGAATGTGAGGTCAAGACTGTTTAGAAACCAAGCAGAAATTCTTAAGTCACTTCAAGGCCTATTCACATATTCATCTAAAATCTGAAAATTTAGTTGAATTTACTCAAAAACTTACCAAATTTTAGGTTTCACAAGCATGAATACAGGAGCAAAATAGTTTGTATACGCTAAAAACTGTGCAAAGAACAAGAACCCACCCAAACTTGTTATAGTTAAAAGAAACCAATCCCCAACAAAGCAACAAGGATTCTAGCACATTAGGAGTGCACACTCTCTTGGTATTGCAGAACCCATGTTCCTGTTTAACTCCTCAGAAAACAGACCAAAAAAAAAGGAAAAACAAAAATCACTAAAGCTGAATCAGTTGATCATTCAATAAGAGTTATCTTCCATTTCAGGTCAGAATATGCTCTTCAATACCTGCCCAAGAAATATTTTTCTCTACAACTAAGACAGTACATAGTATCTTGGGATATAATTTAGGGATAAGTTATCATAATAAAAATGCTAAAAATACAAAATTAAACAGGTTATCAATTTTTTATTATAAATCTCTTAGGCCAATATAACACCTTTCTTTTGTGAAGAGACAAATTCAAATTTCTACATCACTTTCTCAAACAGTTTTTAAAAATTCTACACAAATCAGGCCAATAGATTGAACAGAACATGTAAGAACTTTATCTAGTGAAGAAGATGCCACTGAAGAAGTGTATTGTGAAAGTCTACTCAGGAGCTTAAAATATGCATTGTAATTGCAGCACATAAGAAAAACCAAAGCGTTTTTATTGTTTCCCCACAAGTTCTCCAAGCAAGAACTGTAAGACTGGTCACATGCCATGCTTTTCACAAGATGCATCATGGCGTAACTTCTTAAATTAAGCATAGTCTACTGCACAGAGGCCAACCAACACAAGTCTCTGAATACACTAAAATCCTTCCAGACACAATGTAGCAAGAATTAAGCTGAAGAAGGTTGCAGACAGTACGCTGGATTATGCAGCCACAAAAACCTACAAACCTACGTTGATGCAGCTCACATAGTATTTTTAAGAGAGTTAACTAAATGCAAGAACAACACTTGCAAGTAAAAGGTGCCTCTGAGTAAAGATGTAATCTTTTTTTAGAGGTTCGACTTGGTTTAGTCATGTTGATTTAAAAAATAAATAAATAAACAAAAAAACCCCAAAACACACCACTCCTAACATCATAATTATACCAACACAAAAATAAAAGAGGCACTAGGCTGAAGAGCCTCTTCTAGCTATCAAAGATACAGAGGCCAGTGATGCTGTTTTGTTACAATGTAAAACTGCAAAAACAGACCAGAGCATCACAGAAGGTACTCTTTTAGTACCAACTCATTATCAAATGGCCTTAGCCATGAATCAAGGATCACTCTCTAAGTAGGGAAGGCACTACTCAGGTTCTGGGTATCTGCCCATACAAGTTTCAGGCCATATTCCTAGCTGGCTCCTACTGACTTCACCCTGAGAAGGTTCTGAATGCTTTCAATAACCTGATGATATTGGAAGGTGCTTCAGATGTTCAGTACTTCTTGAGATCTGCTTCTTAATAGGAAAAAGACATCTCCATCAATGTAGGTCCTATCCAGCTAGAATGAGGAAAAGAACCCTCCTATGCAAGTTTGGGAAGAGCTGGCTGAGGGTAGACTCCTTGTGGAGGTGTACTGACCCCTGAGTTCATGCAGCAACAAGCCTGACCTTGTCTGTCCTCACCTCCTTCCACTACACTCCCTCACTCAGCCCCACTGATAACCAGAACTCTGTCTAATACTCTGCCTCAGCCCTATTGCAAGAGGAATAAAACTCATCCTTTGCTCTTTGCCTCACACCGCAAGCCCAGGAGAAAACCTCACTGCCTGCAGGCTGCAACACAGGTGCCCAGCATGAGAAACCAGCAAAGGGACCTTCTGTTAGTGTTTTCATGCCCATGTATGTGCAAGAATGCAACATAAATGCACAAAACACAGAATTCCTTAACATGTACAGCTCTTTTTGCTATGGAAATAATGAGACAATTGCTCTAGAGCCATAGGTTAACATTCACACTGTAACTTCAAGTCTTGCATATATAAAGAGTAGGCCCATCTTTACACCAGGGCAGACTGTGACAACAAGCCAAAAACAGGTATTCACAACTAGTTGCCTAACTCACCATCATAATTTTTTTTTTTTTGTCAGAGCAGACTTTCTGAGGTGCCTGAACCTCATAATCAATGAGGTTTTTCAGAACTGACACCAAAGAAGGCCACACAACAAAAAAGAGGAAAAGGATCAGCTGGAGAATAAGTGTCAGGGGAAGAAGGAAAAAAAAAAAGTAGAGCTATTTAATCCCCTCCCCCCTTTAGTTAATACAAAAACATGCTCTTAGTTTGCAATGCTTATTAAATTTATTGTTCTCAGAGTGGTTGGCCTTCCACACAACAGCCTGTAGCAGTCACCAAGGTTAATGCAAGCATTTGAAAAAGTACAGAATGGCCAGTTTCATCTGGCCATAAGTTTATAAAGGAAAAGAAAATATCTCAGAAACAGCTCCAGGCTCTCAAGGAGCTATGAGGCTGCACTTGATACCCAGCAAGTTTATTATCAGTATTTCATTAACTAGGCTGTTAAAGAGAAGTCTGCCTACCATTTGTGCCACACAGGACTCATTTTCTAGCATCTCTCTGTAGTGTTCAAATTCAGAAAGGCAAGCCTAAAATATTTTTGGGGGTTGCAAGGCTCAATAAACGAAAATAGATCTTAGCTCCACAGACACAAGAATAGTGAAACATTAATTTAACGTATTTCTGGTTTAGTTAGCTGCCAAAAAAGCAAAAACCAGATACTGCATGCAGCTCTCATTTCAGCATGGCAAATATTTCGTTCATTAAAAAGAGCATCTCCAGAGATTCTGTTGCATTTGATGAGCCCCTCTTGAAATCCTACACCCGTGAGCATCCTGTGTGAAAAAGTACGAATGACAGCGTCAAGATTCTGACTCCAAATACTTCCTGGTTGCACTTGACACCGACAACGAACAGGGATGGCCAGAAGATGCCTGCTCTTCACTGCCCCAGCTGACGCTTCGCAGCACTCCACGGTGAAGGAGCGGGCACCAGTTCACAGCACAGGGCTCGAAGCAACAGGACTGGAGCAACGGGATGGCAACAGGACTGGAGCGATGGGATGTGCTCGTTACGCCCCCCCACTGCTAGGCTGCAAAGACCAGATACCGTACTAAAACAAAGCCACCTGCTCATCAGCCAGCCGTGCCACAGGGAGTCTGCCCGCCGAGGGTGCGCGGGTGAGTGTGCAAACACCAGCCACGATCCCAGCTGAGGTGCACGCCCGCGATACGATCTTTCACAGACGAATGAAGCCAATATTCATTAAAGAGCCATAAACACTACCCCGAATACCAGCTGCCCGGGCGCTCGGCTGATCCCGTCCGCGGTAGCAATTTAGTTCACTGAAGCATGCCCTAAGCTCCAGCATTTAGGAAAAAAACAGCGACCCGGGTCACGGCTTTAGCAATCTAATAGCGGCCAAATGAGCGGGGCCCGGCGGCTTTATCGCCCGTTAACAGCCCGCCGGGCCGGGCGCGGCAGCGCGGCCGGACCCGGCTGCCCCCGGCCCCGGGCTGCCCCCCACACCCCGTCGCGCCGCGGACGCCGCCCCAGCCGCTCAGTAAAATGTCCGACGGTCCGCTGCCGCCGGGAACCTACCAGGTAATCCATGTACCGGGGTGGCGCCGGGCGCCGCGCTGCCGAGCTCTCCGGAGGGGCCGCGGGGCTGCCCCGGCGGCGCTGTCAGAGCCGCGCTGCCGCCCGCACCTCGCGGCGGAGGGAGCGGGGCAGGGCCGGGCGGGGGCGGGACGCGCCGTCAGCTGATCGCACACGTGGGGGCGCGGCCCGGCCGCCCTTAAAGGCGTAGGAGCCGCTGCGGATCTCGGGGCTCTGCCGTCCCGCAGCCTGACAGAGGCCAGGGAAGGGCCACGGACTGCAGCACAAGTCCAGTGAGGAGCGGCTGAGGGAGCTGAGGTGTTTGTCCTGGAGCAAAGGAGGCTCAGGCGTGACCTTATCACTCTCTACCACTGCCTGAAAGGAGGCTGTGGCCAGGTGGGGATCAGCCCCTTCTCCCAGGAAACCAGTGACCCGGTGAGAGGACATGGTCCTAAGCAACGCTGGGCGGGGTTCGGTTGGACAGCAGGAAGAATTTCTTCACATAAGGGATGATTAGACACTAGAATGCCCAGGGAGGCTGAGGAGTCACCTCAAACACCTGAGGAGGTGTTTAAGGAAAGACTGGATGTGGCACATTGGACTCGATGATCTCATAGGTTTTTTTCCTAATCAGATTGATTCTGTGATGGTTTCCTTAAACACCCTTGAAAGCAACGCCCATGTCTCCTACTGCAACCTGACATCCCAACCTGAGGCTTTTTCACAAATATAAGGTGTTAGTAGCAATGCCTGACTCCTGGAGAAATGGAAGGAAACTTCTCCATGTGTGTGACAGTAGGATAGGAAATCTAAAAATGACACATCAAGTGAAAGAATAAGGGGAAAAAACAGAGTGTAGTTAAAAGAAGTAGGAGAGTAGGCAAGAAGATAGAAGAAAACAGCTGTAAATGAGGAGCAGGAGCAATAGGGAATCGATATTTGTAAGGATATTGGTGAGCAGTTCACCTACATCTAGTAAACTGTGGTGGGGCAACATAAATTACAATTACTGCTCTGAATTTTGTAACTAATTAAGGCCTATTGTGGACAGTCTTAATTACTGTATCCAGAGAGTGTTGATAAGATGTTCCCCTTGAGCCTGCCAAAACATCTTGCTAATGGATAATTCATTTTCCTCATACATCTAGTCTAGAAAAAAAAAATTATTCCTTTGGCCGTCCTTACTTTACTTTGAGATTCAATATCAAATACATCTGCATAGCAACTCAAGTTTAATTTTGATGAGAACAAATGAATTCTTTTCCTTTTAATTATTTAGAGGTTCATTAATTTTAGTACTTTAGTAGGTAATGGGTGGAAGGAGGGATACAGGCTTGGCCCTTCCTTATATTCAGCATTTTGGCTGTTTTTCATATAGTCACAGCCATTGCTGGCAACTGTCTCTTGATCATGAAATGTCCTTTTGACAGGAGGAACTACAGTGTAAAGACTACTTTAGCCACTACAGGGGTGGGTAAAGTAGGCCTCTCAATAATGTAACACAGGAGCAAGAAACTGATTTCATCACACTTCTGTCATCACTTGTGATTTTTAACATTTTGCAGTGCTTTCCCCTTAAAAATTAAAATTGTTTATTTCTTCTTTTTTAGCAGTAATACATCATTCTTGAGAACTGCTGCCTTGTGCTTGCTTCTCTAAATGAAGGGTGACTGAAATGAGAACAAGGACAAGCAGATATTTCAGAACTGTTTCCTGTGAGACAAATAGGAAAGGACTGGGAATTATTTCTTCTATAACTGATTGAGAAGAAAATAGAATTATGAATCTAGAGAGCTGCTGCAGAGATGCTGCTGTGATAGGAAAAGAAATAATTGGCTTTTATTGCAAGAAGGAAGATTAAGTTCAGCTACTGGAAAATAATGGGAAGGATGTTTCAACATGGACAGGCATCAAAGCTAGCAGAATTTTTGAAAGTAGCCATGAGTTATAATAACATTTCTCAGATGTAGTTTTAGTTACTTAGCACTGATGTACATCTGGAGAAAAAGAACTAGAAGACCCATCTGTTTTACATGAAGCTGATAGATCTGATTATGAAGATGCAGTGTGTTAATATATCCCAAGAAAAATGTTTATTCTGTTTCATAAGTGTGATTTTCTTTCTAGTTGATAAACAAGACCTCATGATCTGAATACAAAATCAGTTTTAAAAAATCAAGAAATTTGTCATGTATACAATGAAAATCTCACAAACTTGATCAAAAGAGAAGTCAAGCTTAAATTTATGCATTAGTCCTTCTGTTCACTGTAAATACATTATTCCTTGGGCCATTGCATAGCCTTATGGCACATTAATTTTAGTACATAAAGTGGAGATTAACACTGAACAATAGCAGAATGTAAGCAGAATACAAGTCCTATAGCACATGACTTCCAGCCTACATAGCAGTCATGATGTTGCTGAGATTTTTCTAGCAAGTCCTGTAAGATTTCTTTCATCTAAAATGAAGTTCAGTTTCATATTGGAATATATGCCTAATGCAGTGTAAGTTATCTTCATAAAGAAGCTTGTCAGCAGGAACTCATATGTCAAGATAGGAAGGAAGAGATCAAAGTATTTAAATGGAGCAAACGACATGTGTTGGCTGTGAGGTAATTAGTCTGGTTCCAAAAATGGAAGTGAGCTTATGCACAGAAGCACAAGTTTCTCTTCAGTGAAACCCTGTCTCAAGAAAAATTTTCTGTAAACTTGTATGAAAAATAATCAATCTGGGACTCAGACTTTGACCCTGAGAAGTGCTGAGTACAACATTGCTTCTGTCACTGCAATTTAATGAGTGTTTAACCTAAGAGCAGCACCTGACAAATTCAAGCATTTGTAGCTCTAGCAGTTAGCAAACTCTGGTAGTGGATTTGACATAAAGGTGTATTTGTTACTTAATAGATATCAGCAAAATGGGAATTTAAAATGTGAATACTAATTAATATGCCTATTTCCAAATATATTTGAATGGAATGAGTATATTTTTTGGAATTGCATAGCCAGCTGTATATATGAAAAATTGTCCAATGAGCATTATCTTGGAAAACAACTTGAATGGCAGGCAGTACCTCTTTTAGTCATATTGCTTTAATTTCCAGACTCGTTAGTTAAACAGATTCTGTCATAATAATGCTTGTATAGAAGTCCTGCAGAAAGCAGTGCTGCTATTTATCCAGTAGATGTACATAGACAGAGTGTTGGCACATCATGGTTTGAATGACCTGAAAACTGGGTATTTTACAAAAGGTTCCCTAAAACAAAAAGACCCAGTAGCACATCAGTGACTGAGACAATCTAAACCACTTTGCCACATGAGAATAATTTAATTCTTTAAAAGGACAAAGTACATGGTAAGTTTGTTCTCCCCTTGCTCTCTGCATCCCACACATTTTTTAAGAGGGGAAAGGCAATTGATTATTTTTTATTATTAGCAAGAAGGTGGTTGTTTTAATCACCAGGTTTTACTGATATAAGGAGACCTGATAGCTCTGTTTAAGAACATTAATTACTGGAGGGGCACAATATTTTACCCTTCTAATTAAAGTTGAGAAGAAAAGTATTTATTATCTTTGAAAGAACTGAAAGAGGCTACCTTACTCATACTTGTAAACATTAGTTTTCCAGGGTACAAGGTTGTTACAGCAGCAATCATGGCAACTCATCTTGGCAACTCATAGGATAGTTAGTAGGAAAGCAAAACATAATTTATACCTTCAGGTTAATACCATATACTTACTCTGGAAAAATAAAATCTGTAGAAAAAAACTCTCACTCCTGTCCTCCCCTCAAAGTTCTGTCTTCATACTTGATTTTTCTCTTGCTTTTACAACATCTCTGAGATTAGTTTTGGCATGTTTTGCTCCTTTGCACTGCACCTCATGTAATCCTGGTCCATTTTCTTGTAGTCACTAAATTTCCCAATTTTTTTTTTTCTTTTTCAGTATCCGTGTGATGTCACTCATATCTTCTCCACAAAGTTGTGTCTTCCTCCTTGAATTTTTCCACTGCTTTTGCAACATCTCTGAGGTCAGTTTTGGCATGTTTGTGTCCTTTGCACTTCACCTCATTTCCTGACAGACATTTTCTTGTAGTCACTAAATGTCCAAATTTTCTGGGTTTTGGGGTTTTTTTTCAGGCGCATTTCATTTGATCCTATCTCCTTTCCAGAGTGCTTGTGAATCTTTCTTTTCTGGGTCGCAAGATTTCGTTTCTCTTCCCGAAAGGAAATGAAATTTCCTTTCGGGAAGGGAAACGAAATCTCGCGATTTCAATGGGAATCAAGTGGGCAATCTTTGGACCATGTCCGTGCAGTTCCCAGCATCCCATGCCTTTTGATGGCTTTGACATTGGCGAAGATTTTTTTCTTTTTTTCAGTATCCATGCCGTGTCACTCCTATCCTCCACTCAGTGTTCTGTCTACATACTTGCTTTTTTCTCACATAAAAATGTGGACTTCTTTGATTTAGGATGCTCATACAGCAATATAAATGTTCCCAAATGCTACAAAACCCCTTTATTTTTTATGGCTAGAAATTTAGAATTGGATGCCTTAGAAGGTACAAACTGTGCTTAGTTCAAGAATACAAATGATGTAATAAAACAGTCTCTGACTTCACTGGCAGAATAGAAAAGAAGTTGGACAATATAGGAAGTTAAGATTAGTTAGAAGAGTTCTGTTGTTCAGCAGCTGGAAAACGGATAGGAAAAAATATTTGAATGGTCTAATGGTAATAGATTTCTAAGCATACATTTTAACAATAAATGCATGTGGCCAATTGTGACCAAAAGTATTTCCTAGAAATATCCAGAAGGGCATAAAAATGTAAAAAGAGCTGGACAGAGAAATGAAAGAATGAAGTTTTCATTAGGAGAGTTTGAATATTAAATAGATGCCAAGAGCAGTCAGCAGTTTTATTTGCAGCCCAAATTTCAGTAACTTGGAGCCTGCTGTTAATCAAACTCATGTAACTTACCGGGAAAGGGAGAAGGTGCTCTGTGTAAATAATGTTTGAAGCAATTTGCAGCTCTTTATCTGATATATTGACAAATGTCAACATGCAGAGATACTGCAGCCAAAGGTGAACGAACGCTATGACAGAAGCAAAACCTCTCAGTCAAAAATCTCTTTCTCTTTGCTCTAATGCTTTGCTACCTTCTGGCATTTTGGTCACCATGTGTACTATGGTTATGTATCTATTTTTTTTTGTTTGTTTGTTTTTTGTTTGTTTTGGGTTTTGTCTTTTTTGGTCTGTAAAAGAACACATAGATATGGAAACAAGCAAACAGATTTTGAGAAGGATTTTTCACCTGTTTTCTCTCTTGTTTCCTGAAATATTTGGCTGACCTTCAGGTAACCTCACTGGCAAAATAACAACAGGCAGTCTAAAAGCAAAGGTTAATAATAGAACAAGGTCAAAAGTAGAAACCAGTTTCCCACTGCAGTTACATATAGTATATATACATTTAGTATAATTATAATTAATAATTAATTTTAACCTATGGGTTATGAATAAAATGATTATAATATTACAGTTGATTTTATGTAGGTTATTTACTCTTTCCTGTGCACCAAAAATGTTACTGTTGATAAAATGATGCAAAAAAATTTGCATGAGGAAATTTGAATATATTATATTGCCAAGCAGGCTGAAATTTACATATGATATTTTTTCATTTCTATGTCACCCCAGCTCAAGTTGGTACTGCTGTAGACTCATTTTTAATTTCACGGCTGTTCTGTGTTAGGTTTTTAAACAGTCCCACAGCAATAAAATATGTAATTAACAGTCCTAGTCCTAAACTGGTAACCTTGTTTGAATTATTAGCAGAATTTGAAGACTAAATGGCCACAGATATCTGCCTTGGTAGTAGGGTTTCTGTGTTTAAGAGACTTAAGAATTTGGGAGCCTTAGACTTAGGGCTTTAGGGTTTCTTCCCATATACACTTAAGAAAGCATTTGCATCTTTCCTTGATTTCTTTTTTGTGATATGTAGAAAATAGTGGTCTTGTGAAGATAAAAAAAAAATAAATTCACAGTTCTGATCGGGTTTAATTCTCTATTGCTTGTGGCACTGTGGAAAACTTCAAGAGATGGATTAGAAGTTGTACTTTACCTTCATGTCCCTGCTAACAAGGGAAGTAAACCCTAAGAAATCTAGTCCTGTTTTTCGTAATGTCTGGTTTTCTGGGATGAACTGAACCTTTCAATTTTTGTGACTTAAGTGTGGTACATTTTATGAGGACTACAATTTTGTTCAAAGTTTGTAGTACATTTGTTTCTAATATTGTTTACAAAGTATTCAAATATTTATCTCTCATGTTCAGATTGTTTTGCCTTTTTACTGAATGAATATGTAAATAGAAGCAGTACAGTTAGACTCTGTGGTCTTTGCTCTAGTGTTAAAATGAAAGTACGTGTGTCCCTTTGTAGCCTTTTCTTTTATTTCCATGATGAATGCCCTGTTAGGCTAGAATTATACTTGTGCTCTAAATTTGCCCCTAAAAAAATGAGAGACACAATACTCAGTCTCTTTCAAATTATAAAGGGGTTGGGTTCTGATCCAGTTCTTACAGCCTTCCACCTTCTTGTTCGGGCTCAGAAAATACTTATGTTGATAAGTTTTCAAATCATAGTCTTACTAAGGTGTGAAAAAAATGCCATTGCTTTACTAGAAGAAAATGTATCTTATGACCTACATAATGCGTCTGTTGTGTTTGAAGATTTACCGTGCCCATCCCACAGGTTTGCCTGTCCAAAGGAGAGGAAGGTCATTACACAGATAATGCTCTGCAGGAACCTGGAACATGGGTGACTGTTGCCTGCATCAGTCTTTCTCTTCACTCCAAAGGAGGAAGATTCAATAATGGCACATTATGAATTGGTGAGAGGAATTATAAAGTCTCAATGCAAATGAAGATACAGATGATTCTGAAACAAAAGAAATTGCAATTTCCATATGACCTTGTGTTTCATATTTATACTGAATGTATTGTTCCATATTATATACCTACACTGTGTCTTCCTTAACAGTCCTGTCTTCCCAAGTCAGTGTGACTACAAACTCATAAAACTAAACTTTGCTTGTAGTGTAAATACAGCATATATTAGGAATATGCTTGGCAAAGCATTGCAGCAATATCTGAAGATGACCATTTTATCTCTTGCTAGATGTAATGAACATCAGATACAAAGTCTCTGTAGTTCAAGGTTTTTCTACACTTAGTTTGTTTCTGAGTACTAAATGAAAAGAAAAATGCTTTCTAGCAAAAATAATAAAATAACTGCTAAAAATTAATAAAAATTGTCTTGGTATGGACGTACCTTTGTGCCGGGTTTTAGTCTCATCTAGGTAGTACATTAAGTAGTACATTAAGAAGAGAAAGGACAAAATAGTAACACACAGCTTAGAGTCTGAATGCCACTTACCAGTTCAAACAAATGTAATTCTTTTATTCATATTAGGCAATTTAAACTATGCAGGCATGTGAACACAACTTATAATTAACCTGCATTTTGCTATGCAACATATCCTTAGGAGCTCTTTTTTTCTTTAAAGCACATCCTAAAGGCCTACTGACAATAGAAGCAGATATTAAATAGGTCCTTCCTAATTTTTTTTCTTACCTCAGCTTTATATTAGAAATCCACAGGTCAAGTTTTCACTGTTTGTTTCGTATCACAGATTTTTAAGAAACTCTTCTATTAGTGTGAGTGGAAATAAGAAAGGAATCCTCTGCAAAATGGATTGAGAATCCATTTTGAGATTGGATGAGAATCCAATCATCCAATGATGGATGAGAATCATTGCCCAAGAATGATTTGGCACCTCCTTTTAGTTCATTTATTTGGAAAACACTAAGTGAGTTTTACAATGCACTAATTCTGTGGTTTTAAATACAGAGAATGGTTGCCCATTCTGAAGTCACATGCAGAAATTCACTTATAAAAACATAAACTAAATTAGCATCTTCAGCATAACCTTTATGATTATAGCAGTACTGAGAACATCATCTCTCTGGAAGGCAGGACCTTTTGTCTCAGAAAAAGTAGAAAAGCCTATACTCATCTTTACAAAGATGCTATACTTGATTTGAAGACCTAATTCATGTTTCTACTAAAATCACTCTTTTCAATAGAAGCAAGACACCGGCTACCTGACTTTCATGTAACAGCTACTTTGTTCAGAAGTTTTCTTGTTAATTGAACTGGATTTTCATAGGTCTTATGCACTTATTTCTACAGCTAGGCAGACTTGAAAGGAAAATATAGCTCTTGAATTCTGGCTACCCAGCATGCCTCATCCATGGCCAAGAGGGAAATGTAAAGCAAACAAGTGAAGTAGCTTAGATGTGTTTATCCAATCAAAACTAAACTCTAAAAGGAAATTTGATGATATAATTACTTGTCTCATAACTAGCACATTGATCAAAAGATGTATTTTGCACTTTGACCATGTAGCCTCTGTGTTTTTGGAGTACACATTTTATCTTTGAACTTAAGCTAAATTAGCATGACAAGATCTGACACTGTTACTTTCTGCATGGAAGATTTTTTAATTAGAGGAAACAAGACGCCATCTGTTTGGACATGGGCAGCTGACCCCAAAATGCCATTGCTCTCACAGCTCTCTCCACTGTATCTTGTTCCCAGCCCAGAAGATACTTCCAGTAATACTGTTCCCGAATGACTGGAAGCTACCATCCAAGATTATAACAGCACACTGGATGGCTTCTGAATCCTTAAAGCACAGGGAAATGGCAACAAGAATTGGGATAAAGTGAGATATATTAGTTGGATTCTGCTTGTTTAAATCCTTTGTCTTACAGAATTCCATAGGATGAATAGAAATAAAATCTAGCCCCTTAGAATCAGAATAGAGACCTGGAAGGAGGCAGAGAGAGGATTTTATGAAGTCTCAGAAGGTCAAGACTGATTTGCAATAAATGGAAAAAAATCAGTATTGAGTTCTGCTGTGACAGAAAAGTGGCAATGCTCAGCAAGTGTATTTGAGAGTTTCATTTCTTAGAACTGATTGAAAGCAGGGAAAGAAGAACTGGAATTAGCTTTAGGATGTTCCAGTGGGAAGGATGACTGGAAAAAGTCAGGTTTGTGAAAAGGGGTGGGATTATAGAAAAATGAACCCCCAGCAGATCTTGCAAAACAGGTCCCAAACACTATTGTTCACTTTGGTGGTGCTTGAAAATTAAACTTGCCCATTGCCATTGGTATTGGTGAGAAAAGCTTCCACAGATTTCAGCTGATTTCCATGAAAAAGACCTGAATGGTTTGTTAGCAAGCCCTGTTTTCCCTAGGAAGGAAAACAAGGAAGTGTCTAATACCCATCGCTACCTTTTATAGAGCTTTTTGGATGCTGGTGGTAGTTGTGCAGTTGTACCTTTAAGATTACTCAGTTCCTAGAACTTATAAAAATACATAAATTGTTCATGTTCTTTATTCCTCCTTGTAGAATAAAACTTCAGAGAAATGTTTCTTTCCCTCCCAAACAAACGTATAAAAAATAAGAAAATAAAATTCATAAAATCTTTTTGATTGGTTGGCAAGAGTAAAGGATCGACTGAACTAGCTGGACAGAAAGAAGTTATTTAAATAATTTAATTCTGATCATTGGGCTGTGTAAAATCAGGTGTGGAAAACAGCTAAAGGCAAAGTCTATTGTAACTCCCTAGTATATTAACTAAGAAATGTAATCTTTTAAGAGTGTGAAAGCTATCTAACCATTTGTCTATAAACAGCATGGAGTAAGGGTTATTACCATTTAACAAAGAACCAAATGCTTCTGTGCCCTGGAGAACAGAAGATGGTCACTGATGGGAAGGATTCAGTCCAGAAAGAGATTATGTGCTGAGCTGTCTTGATTTTTTCCTGGGAAGGGGTACCAAATGAATAGAAGTGTTAATGACAATTACAGTAAATGTGAACTTGCTCTTACTACAGGCAAGATTAGGTCTGCATTCAGTTTTTTTCTGAGATAACCACAATTACTTACTGTATGTAAACCCACAGAATTAGTGCATTATAAAACTCACTTAGTATTTTCCAAATAAATGAACTAAAAGGAGGTGCCAAATATTTAATTTTAAATATCAGTAAGGAACCCTGAAAGAGCTATCCTGTTCACAGGCAGAAGCAAGCTGCTGTGAATCAGGGTATCTCTCAGCATTCCTCATCACTGCCACTCACTTCTCAGGCTCTACTAACCTTCTTTGGGATTCAGGATAGAGAAATGTGTGACTAGACTTCTGTCAGGATAAGGCCTCCTGCTGACAGACTTTGTGCAAAGGTCTGTATCATTAAATATGCATTAAGTTTTGAAGAGATTCAGGAATTAAACTAATTCCATATACCTTATAGTAAAATGTAACTGCAAACTAAGAATAGGCAGAATGCTCATTTTATAGTCTCCTTATGTTATACAAACTCTACATGACTGACTAAAATTCCATGTTATTATTTACAGGAAACTGCAAGTATATAATTAAGAGAGATAATCACAGGGTTATAGCAACTATGCTAATGGCAGTCCTAGGAAAATCACAATTCTTTGTTGTATGTTTTTTCACATATGCAGTTTTACACATTAGCATATACAGTCACTTGTCTCTCTTACTTTCACTGCAACATTTTTTCCTAATAATGTCCAGCTAGTGGCTGAGGCTTATTTTTTTTTTTACTCATTCTACAGTATAGGCATTAGAAAAATAAATATTTCGTCCTTTTGTCCCTTTGCTATTTTTAGCCCAAAGGAATGCGAAATTCAATTTCAATATGAACTTTGCCCAAGAGAGCACTGAAAGCTGAGTGTACAGTTGTTAATTTCAAATTGAATTGAAGCAATTTTATCCTGAAACAGCTTTTTTGGTAGACAAAATCCATTAAAAGTACTATAGTATGATGTCTATGAATATGCACTTTTTGTATTTTCCTTGCAAACTAATGTTCTATGGGTGAGTTAAACAAAAGCAATGGCCTTGTAGTGGACAATACAATTATATTTACTTTACCAGCAGCAACAAATGGTAAATCTGCTGAAAACCTCTTAATTTCTATTCAAATGCAACCCTTTGACAAACTTTAATTACTATGTGTTTTCTTATTTTCTGAATACCTACTCTCCCCTTTCTGTATCCCTGTAATATCAGCTGCATTGTAATGATGCCCAAGCCGCCACCCACTAGCAAGTGACATACTTGGTGCCATAGTAGGGCAGCTGGGAAAGTTTACCCCTTCTACTGTCTGCCTCTGATACCTGAGTCAGCAAGCTGTTCTTTAGTTTCATCAGGAATGTTAAAGGTATGTTCACATTAAACTCAATTTCTTCTTTGTCACTAGTAGTACACCTTCCTACTTACAATTTTCGTGATCCTCTTTGTTTGCTCTTTTTCCTCGGAAAGCTTCATATGATATTTTGTGGTTTTGCATATGTGTATTAGAAGATACTGTTTCTCCTAAAAATAATAATAATCTAAACAGGTCTATGATGCTGATACTTCTTCCTGCACTCTTTGAAAGTGGAATAAAGAGTCTGTGATTTTCCAGAAGCCAAAGAGAAAAACCTACCCTACAGACAAGAACCAAATTGGATTTCTTACCTCCCAAGGCAGTGCCCCTAACCAAAGTCCAGCCATCCTTTCTTGCTAATGTCTTGGCAGCAGCTTGGTGACCTATCTTGTCAGTAACAAAACCAGTTAGTGACAATCATCTGAGCAGCACAAACAATGCTGCAGACATGCTAAGGAACAGTCTTGTGTATCCAAGAATCTAAGGTGCATTAGAGACGAGTAGGGGAATAGATAAAACAGAGACCATATACTCTTGGAAATGCATTTCCACTCAGGCAATTTACTGTGTGAGTGGGAACTTTGCAATAACACTGCCCCTTTTTCTCACTGTTCTTATGTGTTTCCAGAAGGAGGGTCTAAATACACCATGTGAATTTAGCCACTTCAGTGCAATTCTTTCATCAATCCTTCATGCAATTACAACTCCAAAGGAGAGGGAAAATAAGACAAGGATGTGAATATTCTGACTCCATCTTGAAGAATTCTTGCTTAGGAATACACTTTGTTTGTCTTTTGAAGATCCTCCACATAGTCCTGGGGATGGAAAAAACTGGCAAGAAGCTGTGTCATGAAGTAATGCAAGTAATGGCCCTGAGATGGGTTTAGTTGGCCAGAGCATGGTGCTATTTACACCAGGTTTGTAGGTTCAATCCCTGTTATAGACTACTTAATTAAGAGTTGGACTTGATGATTCTTTGGGTCATTT